ATGAAAATGTGTGGCGTGTTTGTGTGCCAGACCTGTGCTAAATGCTGGGCAAACAGTGGTGAATCACCTCGACCCATTACCTATGCTTGGGCTTTCAGCCTGATGGGGAAATAGACTTGAAAACAGGCAGTAACCAATGGGGGTGATGTGTGCTCATAGCAAGAAGGACAGGTGTGGCAGGGCCTGGAGTGGGTATCAGACAGCTTGGGGATGGGGCAGGGCAGTAATTTCTGAGCTAAGACTTGGGTACTTGCAGGAGTTGACCTGGTGCAGCAGGAGAATAAGGAGCTTGGGCAACAGGAATTGCACAAAGATTTGAGTGGGCCTGGCTTCTGCACTGCAGGAAGCTGGTATTGGGTAAGTTGGTTCAAGAGCTTCCTATATTTCCTATCTCTACCCCCGCCCCTTCCCTTTTCCCCTTCTTCCTGCGGAACAAACCATATGAAAGTGACCTGGGCCAGAGCGGTCTGGGAGCACATGTATGCCTTTTGCTCAAGCTCTTAGTAGTCTGGATCGGGGCAGGGAGGATGCTATCTCCTGAGTGTTGGCCACTCAAAAAGCTGGACCTGGCAGGCCCAAGAAGGACAAGGAACAGTGGAAGTAGGATCTGGATTTGCACCATGGAAAATCAAGGTATGAGGAAGGTTCCCTTGCTTAGCTAAGCTTAACCCATCCTTCCCAGGTGCTGCTGAGTTGATCTCTGGGGTCTCTTCCTCTTAGTTTATGGGACTGAGTTATGATTCCGACTGAGATGGGATTGCGTGAATCCTGGCAAAGAAAGACCCTGTGCAGCTGGAGATGGGAAAGAGCTGTCTGGAGCGCGGGGCGGGAGGGGTGACGTAGCTATGCATTTCCTTGTCTGCTCAAGTTCCGAAAATGACAGGCAGGCACAGCTAAGGGATGTTGGTATAAAACTCACCATCAATATTTCAAACAACATTATTTATTGATCAGTCATCTGACTAGGACAAAAGGTAATTCATTGGGGATACTGGCTTTGGGGTCAGTTCAAGAAAAGGTAGGTCATTGAGGAGACCCACCCCCAGCTCCTGCAGGACTATTTGGGGATTTCAGGATTTGGAGAATAGGGACTTTGTCTCTTATTCCAACCCCACAGTATCCTAGATGAACATAAGGGACAGGGTCATGGAAAACTGCAGCAGGTCTGACCTGGCCACTGTGGCCATGTCCAGAAAACAAATGCAGCTGTATGAGCTTCCCTCCCCCTGGACTCAACCCCAACCCTAGCCCCTCTCCCCTCCGACCCTGAAATCGGCTCCAGTAGCCTCTTTAGTTGCCAGTTCAGAAGCTCAGAATGGGTTCTTCCCATGGTCAGCCTGGCAATTTCCCTGCTCTTTGGAGGGTGCCTGATTCTCACCTCAAGGGATGCTTTCTGGGGTTGAGAGGCAGGGTGTGCGCACACAGGCTGGGCTTAGCAGATTGCTTGAGAACTCACAGCTGTCCTGTCAACCCTCAAGGATGCTTTTTTCATGAGTCTCCGCCCCATGGAGTGGAGCATGAGATACTCTGCTCACCAAGCCTTGGGCGGCAGATTGTGTGGGAGAGGATTGTTCTCTGCCAGGCGACGAAATCCCACACTGGGAGGGAGCTGCGCCACCTAGTGGGGTTTTTTCCGCCTTGCAGGCAGCCCTCCCATCATAGCTGTGTTCGGTCTAGATGTGGGACTTACTCTCAGGACGCAAATGCGAGCCGCTGTCCAGCTCAAAGGACTTCTCCACAGGCCAGGCGTGACCCAGCACGAACAGGAAAAAACTGGGGAAGGAGATGATCATGCAACTGACTGAAAGGGAAGCCGGCAGGGGCTTTTGACCTGGAAACAGCTTGTTCCTGTTATACAGGATGCCACAGATAGGAGCACCAAGGTCTGTGGCCCAGAGCCCACAAATGCCCCTCCTTTTGCCTGCCCCGCCCCCCTCCAGGGTGACAGGCTGGGCTTAGCTCTACTAAGGGAGAGCTGGCACAGGCTGGATGGAACTGTTGGCTTTCCTCTGACGTCAGGGCCTGGAAATCCCATTTTAAGCAGGTTCTCTGGGTGTGGAGCAAGAACGGGAGGAAGAGCCAGCTGAAGCAGCTCCAGGCCTGAGCCATCACAGCCTGGGATGTATGCCTGTAGGGAGGCCCAATGTCCCCACGGAGGGACACAGGACCAAATCCAGCCCTTGTCCTCAATGTGGAACTAATACCTATCAAAATGTCCCTGGGACCCAGTACCCTCCCCCTACCTTTGGCTGTGTTCCTCTGTTCTGACATCTCTTTTTCTCTCCCCTGACCTGGAGAAATCTACTGAGTCAGAGGACCAAAGGCAGGTGGTCCCAGGAAATGAGGGGACAGCAAGGGGTCACCTAGACCCAGACATGTCCCACCAGTCAGCCTCCTTTTCACCCATTCTTTTTTTCCATTCTTTTTTTGTCACCCTCCACCTCTCCTTTCCTCCCCTGCACCATGGGGGGTGGGCAGGCCCTATGCCCAGAGTTCTGGAAGCCTGAATATTTCCATGGCAACAGACCAATGAGCTTGGAAATGTGAGCATATTCCTTTTGACACAAGGAAAGCCAGATGTGTATAGAGAGCCTGGCAATACAGAATCTGGCAGTGACCTCCTTAGCCACCAGTCATTGTGGGTACAAACATGTACCTGTGTACGTGTGTGTGTGTGTGTGTGTGTGAGAGAGAGAGAGAGAGAGAGAGAGAGAGAGAGAGAGAAGAGAGAGAGAGAGAGAGAGAGAGAGAGATATGCTGCAAATGAAATTTAAAGAGAACCTACCCTGGTTTCCTGCCATATGGTAGCTCCTAGCATGGGACTCTCCTAGCATTTTACTCTCTGGGGATCTTGTTTTTCCTTTTCTTTTTTTGGCAGTACTGGGTTTTGAACTTAGGGCTTCATGCTTACTAGGCAGGCGCTCTACCACTTGAGCCATTCCACTAGCCCATCTGGGGAATCTTCTATGATGAATGAGTCTCTTCCTTGAATTTGCTACCCTGGTACCTTCTCTCCTTTTTTTTTTTTTTTCTGTGGGGATGGGGTTTGGACTCGGGGTTTTGTGCTTGCAAATCAGGTACTTGAAAAACAGGCATTCTACTGTTTGAGCCACACCTCTAGTCCATTTTGTTCTGGTTATTTTTGGAGATGGGATCTTTTGAACTATTTGCCTGGACTGGCCTTGAACAACAGTCCTCATCTCAGCCTCCCCAGTAGGTAGGATTGCATGTGTGAGTCACTGGCACCTGGCCTTCCTCTCCTTTCTGATAAAGGGACCAGATTCTTCAGGGGCCACTGGTGAAAGGGATGGCCTTCAGAAAGCTGGCTGACTAGACGATTCCAGGGCAGACAAAAGAGACCTCGCATTCTGGCTTTACTCTGACCTTAGTTTAAGGTCAGACAGACATGCCCTGTGATGCCAGGAAGAGGGAAGAAAGCCTGGCATAGGGGCATTTTGTCAAAATGAGGTGTAGAGTTTGGGTCTAGGTCATTACTTATATCCTCTACCCCAGCCCATGCTCTGCTTCCTCCATTTTCCTTCCACAAGGCTATTTCTCTGCTCCCTTCTCCCTCACTCTCCTCTCTTTTCTTTTGTTAATCTCTTTTCCGTTGCTGCCTCTGCTCCTCTGCCACCCTTTCTTCTCCTGGGTTCTGGCCTTCCAGGGTCTTATCTTCAGTCAAGTGCACTTCCTATGCCCTGCTGCCTCCCTCTCCTCCTCTCCTCCAACTCAACCCAGCAGTTCAGGGATCCACCCCTTTCTTTCCTGGTGCCACACTGGGTTATGCCCAGGTGTCTTGCTCTACCCCCTCACCCCCACTCACCAAGACCCGTGGGGCTGGTTCTTCCACAGCTGCTTAGTTTTCTCTTTTCTGCCTCTTCTCTCAACCACTTCAGGGCCTATGACTCTCTCCTCCAGCAGTTTTTGGTCTGTAGGACCTCCCCTGGCCCCTGCCCATCTCCAGCTCTCCCCAGCAGCCTTCTATCCCCTCCTTTTCCCTAGGTACCTCAGTAGGGTCCCTGGGTAGGATTCTGAGGGGCAAGATCTCTTGGGGGTTGGGGCTCCTCTTAGTACCCGACTTTATCGTGAAGCCCCAAGCCATTTTCCCAGATGAACTAACTTAAGGCTGCCTGTCTCTTCCCTGGAGATCAGAGCTCCTGTGACTCACAGTCCAGCCTTTCTTCTCCTCCCCCTCACAGCAGGGCCCTGCTTCTCACTTGGGGTCTTTTCTACCTATGAACTGGATGGGGCAAGAAAAACGCAGAGACTGCAATAAGGAAGGTGCCAGAGTTTGGTTTATTGGCTCATCCAGTGCCAAAGGTCCAATGGGCACCAAGGAATTGGGAGTTCCTGGGCTCTTGCATTTCTCTTTCTTCACAGCTTCCTCCTGGCCTGTCTGAAGTCATGGCAGAAGTGGGGCAAGAATAGTGTGGGGCCTAAGCTGGCTCTGACAGGGATTTGCTTGGCACAGGAGGGGGACCCTGCGGGAAGGGAGGGGGCCCCCAGGGAGAGAGGAAAGAAGCCAGCTCAGCAGGGCCTCTACAATTGGCCCCAAGGAATAGAGCAGGAGCAGGGCAGGAATGGGTGAGGTGAAAGGGATCAGTGATAGAGGGGGAGGTGAGAGGTCCCCTAAAGCTCCATTCTGTCATGGACTGGGTCCTCTGAGGCCCAGAGACTACTGGGAAGGGTCAAGAATGGGAAAGACCAGGGCCGAGGGTAGGAGGAGGTGGCCACTGGGGAGAGAGGCCTTTACTCAACTTCCTTCAATCCCATACCCAGTAAGATAAACACATACTCTCACACACACCCCTGGAACCTCACCTGTTTTTTAGGGCAGACACATAGCACACAGCCCTACCAGCTACAGCTATGGCAGGGCAATCCTGGTTATTTAAACCCCATGTCCTCCACTCACAGCTGTATCTAGAGGCCTCACACAGGTTCCCTGAGGCCTGCCCCATTTGTTTCTTTTCTTTAGGTGCCTTCTGGCCCCTCCGGTCTGTCAGGGCTGTGTCCCTGACCCCCTCCTGCCGCCTCCTAGGGAGAGCAGTGAGGTCTCAGAGAAGGGGATGGCGGCTGTCTTCATCAAGGCACTGGATGGGCGGGGTGGAGCTGCAGCAGGGAGAAGAGCCCTCCTTGGGGGCTGTCAGTCTCTAGGTCAGCCTCAACCCCCACAACTGAGCCTCTGTTTTCTTTTCCAAGTCTCCTCCAGAGGAACAGCCACTGGGTAGGCCCTGGCAACAGCGCTGGGCAGGGGGTGGGGGGGGCAAGGCCTGAGACACCTGGGCTAATGGCACAGTGTGGAGCAAGGGCTGGGGCTAGGGCCCTTCTTGGGGTTTCCTCCTCACTCCATAACCTGGGGGATGAGAACCTCAAGCTGAGTCACCCCCAGCAGAGCTCTTCTTCTTGGGCCGGGCCTTCAGTGTCTTGGAAGCCAGTGGCTATGGAGGGAGAAAGATAGGACTCACCTGGTGACACCACCACCTCACCCCCATTTCCCCAAGCTCTGGCCCATGCTCTCACCTCAGCTTTGGGCACCTTTTTGATGGATTTGGTCCTCTTGGGGGCCTTGTCTCCCATGTCATCCTCTGAGGTTTCTGTCCGGGGATCTGCCTGGTTTGTGCTAGACCTTAAACTTAGGGCAGACTCATCTCCTGGTTGAGGGGAGAAAAGAAGAACAGGGATCCCGGGACCTCTTTCACATGGCCTCTTCAATCCTGTGCCATGCCTCTCCCTTAGCCCTGGGTCCTTGCCTGTACCTAAGTCCTCAATGGTGTCTAGGAGGCCACCAGGGCCAGGTCGGAGGCGGCTATCAGTCCCCTGCAGAGGCAATGCATCCTCATCCCGGATGAGGGTCAGGTCCTGCATGCTGAAGCTCCGGAGTTTCTCTGACAGCACCCCCTGGCCCTAGGGTCACCACCACGCACCGAGAGAGCCAAGGGAAGGGGCGGGGTGGAGAGAGAGGTCACCATGGTGCTGACAGCTGCCCCCGTGAGCAGTGCTTTCCCCACTGCCCTCATCCAGGCCTGCAAAGGGCTGAGAGGCAGGGACCAGACTTTCTCATTGGTCAGCTGAGAAAACTGGTCAGGCAGTGGAAGTGACTGGAGAGTGGCAGAACCAGCATAGGATCCCCAAGCTGCACAAGCCTGAAGCCTCCATGGCCCTGAGGACAAGGCGGACCCCCAAGAGGCGTAGCCAGGGGCACAAGATGAACAAGGTGGGGGCTCTGGAAGTCTGGGCCTGCCCTCATCTCACCTTGGCAGCAGCTGTGACCGCGGCATTGGCAGCCAGGTTCAGGCCCCTCTTGCCCACCCTCATCATGGTCTCATAACTCTTGTCTCGGGCTTGCGTGATGTACTCATCAATTTCCTGAGTGAGGGAGGGGAAGAAGGATGAGGTGAGAGGTGGGGGCTGTAGTCAACGCCCTATTTGATCTTGGTTCACACCTACACAAAGGTACTACCTGCTCCAGGTGACCAGAACCCTGCCAGGTCACTCTGGACTCTGAGCACCCACAGGGAGAGTCAGGAGCATATGGCTGCAGGTATGGGGCTGCCTTGGCCGGGGCAGGCTGGGAAGAGAGCTCAGAGTGGGAGCAAACCTTCTCCTTGTTGGACAGTGTTGGGTGCACAAACTTGCGGTAGAGCACACTGGAACCTTTGGTGTAAGGGGACAGCAGCCATATCACAAAAGCGATCTTGAGCTCAAAGTAGAAGGGGAACCTGTTGGGATAGAGGTAAGCACAGAGCACAGGGCAGAGAGTTGGGTGTTCTGGGTTCAGCAACATTGACCCCCGGCTTGGCCCTGGACAACTCCCCACCCCTTGGTGCCCTAGGGTCTCCACAAGGCTCTCGGGCTCAGCAGAGACTTCAGGTGGAAGGTAAGAAGTGTCCCTGGAAGAAATTTCCCCTGGCAGTGGCTCTACTTGCTCCCTTCTGTTCACATCCCAGCCCCCTCACTCCTAAAGAACACCCCCATTCCTCTACCCTGGGGTCAAGATCAAGGCAAGCTCCCTATCCTTCAAGGTCCATTGTTTCTTCTCACCCCATTCTTTCCTTGCTTTCTCTCGATGAAGCGGAGTTGGATGGGCTCTGGATCCCAATCCTTGCTGCCATGATATGCCCTCTCAATTTTTTTTTAAGTAACAATTTATTTTGAGATGGAGTCTCACTATATTGTCTAGGCTGGTCTTGAACTCCATGGCTCAAATGATCCTCCTGCTTCAGCCTTTTGAGTAGCTGGGACTACAGGTGCACACCACTGTAACTAGCACCCCTTGCTTTGAAGGACTGCTCTCTATTCCTCTGCTCAGGCTACAAACTCCTTCAGGTCTCCTAGGTTCTCACAAAATCCTCATCAAAGCTCTCTTCTTCACTTGTGTCATGGGAATCTAGACTCACTACCTTCAATCTTTAATCACCTTCCTCTGCTAAAACTGTTGCTCTCAAATACAAGGGCTTTATCTACAAATGCAAGGATCTTTTGTCTTCCATCCCTTGGTAAAACTCTTCTCTTGACTTCCAGTGTACTATGGTATAAGTCTTCCAAAAGGCATTTGCTCATTCAGTGAACATTTTTCAGCTCCTACTGTGAATACGCAGATGATTCAGACATATTCCCTGTCCTCAATGTGCTCCTACACACGTAGTTTAATAGTGCCTGCCATGGAAATGCAAGCATCCAATAACTGTAGGACATTATTTCAATGATAAGAGAAGCTGAGACCTTAAGAAAGTGTAGACCTGGCTATGGCCACAGTAAGTATGGCAGAAGCAGGTTCCCTGAATTCTATTGGGGTGCTTTGGCTGCTACCAGAACAAATGTGGGGTTTATATCTGTCCTCATTCTGCTGAAGTCTGGCACGGAGAGGAACTGAAGGATCCAGAGGAAGTGTCAGGAGTCAAGGAAACTTTAACCTGGGACTCAATTTTCTGTCTGGTTACAGAAAGGGAGAGGCTTGGGCCCTTAGATTCAGGGAAGGGATACTGGGCCTCACCAGGACAGTATGATATCGGTAAGTGTCTCAGCCGTGGTGAAGAAGGCAAAGACGATCCAGTACATCATCCATTTCACCTGAGGGGACAAAAGGCAGCACTTACTGGGGCCTAGGACTGAGGGCCACAGACACCCAGAATCCCCAGACTACCAGATCCTCATATCAGAACTGGAAACCCAGGATCCTATCTCTGCCTCTGATCACCCTGGAGATACTGGGCGTAGAGGCAGGGGAGGGATAGCCAGGATCGCAATTTTGTGAATCACACCAAGGCTGGGGGAAGGAAACACCCCAAAACCTCCTTTGCCCAGGGTCTTATTAATGGCTGACAGTGTGGCACAAAGTCACCTGTGTCTGTATTGTTACCATTGCCCTCCCCATCTCAGCCAATGTGGGTTGGGTAGGGGATATAGGTCATCCACTCACATATTCCTTCACGTTTTTGGTCTTCACGGCCTTGTAGGAAGAATAGGCTGGATATAGGGTGCCAAAGATGAGCCTAGGGAGGCAGGAATGGTTACAGGGCCCCTCCCCCTCCTAGCTCTGCATCAGCCCGAGTAGGTAAGGGGAGAAGGGACAGAACTCCAGAGAGCCACAGCAGCTAAACTGATAAACTCTGGTCAGGGGTTCAGGCCAAAGCAGTCAAGACTTAGGAGATACCCATGCATGGGGTCCTCAGTTAGCGAGGGTGATGGCTGTCTCCCCTCCACTGTTCACTTCCCTAGCCTTTGACATATAGAAAAATTCAGGCCAGAGGGTCCAATGTGGTTCCTTCAGCCATGATCCTTGGCTATGTACAAGCCTGTCATGGGGAGTGGGGGTCTGGTCACTTCCATGGGGTGTCTTCCTTCTTAGTCTCATGCCTCTTCAACCCTCCTCCGTATCTCAGAGCCAGGCTGGGTAGGGCCATCTCTACAAGAGACCCTGATACCACCTAACAGAGGTGGCAAATGGACCAGGCAATCAGAGCACTACTGTGGCTCTGGAGACCAGTAAGCAAAGGGGCAGGAGGCCCTGGTAGGGGCAAATAAATTTATTCTCCCAGGACTAAGATTAGGAGAAGGCCCTGGGCTCAAGGTCCTGGTTAGTGATCCATTACAGACCACAGTCAGGACACAGGTAGGGGAGGAAGAGGCTGGATGCCCCTTAGGGAGTTGCCCAGGCCAGAAAGCAGTCATCCTGATGACCACACCCTAGACTCCCTCTAGGGTGGGGTGGGAAGAGGAGACTCTTGTGGGTCTAAGGAAAACCAGGACACAAGAACACTGAATAAGAAGGCAGCAGGGTAAGGCTGCTGAGATGTTAATTCCCAAGTGGAGGCCAAGGGGCAGAGTCCTAAGCAAAAGCAAAGGAAGCTCTAAAGCCCACCAGGAGTCCATCAGGCCCTGACCTTGACAATAGGTGGGTGCTGCCTGGTGGGAGCAGCAAACACTTCCAAACTGGCCAGTGCAGATGGAGAGCCAGCAGAAACCCCAAGGACAAAGTCTGGGGTTGTGTGTGTGTTGGGGCGGGGGGTGTTCACTCCTGGAACTTGGAGGAGGTGCCAGGGACATGGCTTTAAAATATAACTGGCAGCAGGGAATGAAGGCCACCAAACGTTCTCCCCTGCAGTGGCTTTCACAGTCCCAGGCTGAGCATACACAGCCTTTCCCAGTTACCTCCCACACTGTGTCCTCCCAGCATCTATTGCTTCCAGATGCCTAGGCTTCCTTCCTGGGGGTCTTAGGGCAGGTGTCCTCATCCTCAGTCTCCTGACAGTGGAAGCAGGAGGAGGGCCTGAGCCCTCTGTGGAGGCCAAGGGAGTGGACCAGGCTCTGAGCTAGGAAATGATGAAGTCAGGCCTTGCTCCCCACTCTCTTTTAACCTCTTTTCCCAGGGAGAGGTGTGTGTGTGGGTGCCTGTTCTAATGGGCTCTTCCCTCCCAGATCTGCTAGGTGGGGGAGGGGACACGCTTGCCTCCCCTTATAAATCAGGCACTGCTCAGCCTCTAGGATGGGGAGGTGCTGGAGCAGGGCAATTAAGAATAAACGGGGTTATTAATAATGTGGGTGGGGTCCCTGGGAAGATGGGTCTGCCATGTTCCCCTAGTGTTCCCCCTTCCAGTCATGGGTCCCATATTTCTGTCTCTGGGGACCACAGATAGGCATGATGTGCCTGTAGGTGATTGCTGCCTGGAGCCCCTGAGTGCATCCCGGGCTTTAATACCCCCGCCCTCCATCGTGGTCCTCGTCACCCCCCACCGGGGCGCGCCCCACCGCCTCCTCCGCACTCACACCACCAGGCGAGAGATGATCCAGGACACCATGGCGGGGCCGGGTGCTGCGCCGGGCGGGAACCTGGCCCGGCCGAGGATGCAGCTGCCCGAGGCCCAGCGGCCGCCGCAGCAGGGGCAGCAAGAGCTGCGGTAGCAGCAGCAGCCGCCGCGGGGGCAGCGGAGCGCGGAGCCGCCGCCGTTAAAGGGGAGGTCCTGCCGCAGCGGCTGGCCGTGGGCGGTGGCGGCTCTTAAAGGGGAGGCCGTCGCGGCGGCGCGCCCCCCAGCACCTGCTGTGCTTGGGCATGCGCCTTCACCCTCAGCGCCTGGCCTTCCTCTGGTCGCTTATTCACCTTTCTTGGGCTTCGAGCTGCGGGTTGAGGTCCTGAAGAGTCTTTTTGGTTTCATCCCGACATTAGCCCCAGCCCAGCTCTTGCCCTGCCCCCGTCAGACTGAAGACTTAAAATATCGCACGAGGATTATTTTAATATAATAAACAATATTGACTTATTGTGAACAAGCCCTTGCGCTTCCCATGCATTATTTCATTGAATCCTGACGACCGCACTATAAGGCAGAAGTTATAATTATTCTCATTTTGAAGATAAGGACATGATAAGTTTAGGGAGGTTTAATTTGCTAAGGGTTAAAAAAACCACTAAATTATGCTGCTATGATGTGAACTCAGGAAGTCTACTTTAAACAGGCTACATCCCCCAACTGCTGACTAACAAACTATACACCCTATGGACATCCACCTGAGCTCCTGAGGTCAGGTACAGCCGCACCTGCTCATCCTATCCCTACTCTGCAATCACCAATCCCCAGTTGGTGCATCTCATCTGCTTTTTTTCAGTAAGCTTTGAGGGGAACAGAGCTGTAGAGATTTCATTTCAAACAGAGGGGCTAGGAGAGGGACCTGGACCCAGGTCAATCATAAGCCTGGGGCTCTAGTTGCACTCCCATCAGCAAATACCAGTGGCAGTGGATGTCCTAATTCTGAAGACATTTATATCCAGAATGTAGGCTAGCCTGCCTCCTGACTTTCACCAAAGCAACTAAATTCCAAAGCATCCCCTCCCCAATTGTTCTCCTTTTTTGTCCCATTTTAAAGCTTCTACATTCCTCTACTCTTTAAGTGGAGGTGTACTCCTGGTGAACAGAGCATCAACCCAGCCCATCCAGAGTAAAGAGACATATTTTAGAGTTCTGTATTTCAAAGAGTTGCGGTTTTATTCAAACCACACAATGGTCTATTTCCAATCTCTCTTATTATTTTTTTTTTGGTCTTTTCTTTTTTGGTGCTGGGATCGAACCCAGGAACTCACGCATGCTAGGCAAGCGCTCTACCACCAAGCTATATCCCAGGCCTCTATTTCCAATCTGATAATTATATTTCCAGGTTCAAATGCTTTGGAAGGTATTTTCCAACAGATTCCAGAAAAGCAGCCTCTGATGACCACTCTTGCTATACTTTACAACTTCTTCTCCAAAAGGTCTCTTTTAATTGGAATGCAGTCTGTTCTCACCCTTCGAGACACTTTAAAAACAAATCCCAGCCAGGTGCAGTGGCGCATACCTGTAACTCTAGCTATTTGGGAGGCAGAGATCTGAAGGATGGATGTTCAAGGGCAGCCCTGGAAAAAAGTCCTAGCGAACCCATCTCAACCGACAAAATGCCAGGTGCAGTAGTCTCATCCCAGCTACACAGGGCATAAAAACAAGATCCTATTTAAAAAATAAGAAAAGCAAACGGGTTGGGGATGTTGCTCAAGCGATAGACTATCTGCCTGGCATGTGCAAGGCCCTGAGTTCAAACTCCAGTACTACTGTTCTCCCCCCAAAAGTTTCAGTTGGGCCTTTCCCCACCATCTTTGAGATCTAGGGTCATATGTTTTACATATAGGCATCCAGACCTCCTGCATTGAGGAATCCCAATAACTGCTCAAAATCTTGTTCAGGCTGCACACTCTGCCCTCAGAAGGAAGATCCCCCTTCTTCCACTCCATTCACAGAGTGTAAACTGGGAAAACCCACCTTTCCACCTATCAACTCATGTAGTTCGTTGCCTTCACCCCCCAAAACCAGTGACCTCAACCTGGCACTCTCCTTTCTCCCAACTGGGCACAATTCAGGAAACAGAATAATGATCAGGTGCAGCACAATAATGAAGACCTGAAAATGAATCTCCCACCTCTAACCCAGCTCTTAATGTGATCTTGAATTTAGAAGATTTGTTGGCACAGGAAGAATTTAGTCCACTCTGAACAATTTGTTAGATTTTTAATAAGAACATGGAAATCCCAATCAGCCCTTCAACAAAATTAAAATACAGAAAGTAAAATTAAAAGTATTCTACAGTAAATGACTTTTATTTAAAAAAAAAAAAAAAGTAACTGTGAACATATAAACAAGCCTGCAGGGCACTACAGTACAGCTGGAAAGAGATACATTTCCCAATGTACCTGTGGGCCAATGAGTTCCATCATTTTCAAATAGCTTCTTAATAAAAACTTCACTGAGTTGGAAAGTTTTGCTGAAAATATTTCTGGACAAAACTCCAAAAAACAAACAAACAAAAAAATCTCATGTTGGAAATCAAACTTTCCATCAGATTTGGAAATGTACAAGGAGTCCCAAGGGAACGCTGGTAATAGCTGAAAATGGTTCCTGGAGTCACCAGTGTGTGCACACACAGGGAACACAGCACAGCTCAGACACGACAATGTTCTTTCTTAGGTGACTGTTCCCTCAAGATAAAACTGAGAGGGAGAGGGAAAAACTAAAAGAATCCTAAAAAGCCAATTTTTCTAAATTCTGCTTTGGCTGATTTTGTGCTATACTGGGCAGCTGATTCTAAAAATCGTATTTTTTCAAATAGTTTTATTGAAAGGAAGACTAAATGTAATGTGCCTTTCTTCATAATCCAGGAAAACAATTGTGATATTTCAAAAATTCTAAAAATATCTACTTTCATGAAATAGGAACTATTTCACTACAAACCTATTTTTCACTAAATACACACGTTTCCTAATCCTGGAGCCTCCTGGAAAAAGCACTGGGCTCTCCCTGGGTCCTGCAAGACTCCAGTGTTCAAGGGAGAGAGTGGGGAATGGCTGCACCCCATATCCTGGGATGGGCCATGTCAGAGGTCACGTGCAGACACACTGTCAGGCTTCTACCAGGCATATTTAAGCAATCACCCCTACTTGTACCAGTTATATAATTTCCTCTATCTCCAAACACATTCCCACTTAAGCAGGCACAAGAGGAACACAAAAGAAAGGGGTTCCCATATTCCTACTTTCCATAATCTCAAACTAGGAGAATGTGCAAGAAAGCCCAGCGATCTTCAGTAATCTGGATTCCCAAAAGGCCACGGGATGGAGATGTGGCACCCTCGGCTTAGAGTCTGAAACTATGTGTGTGAACAGTGCGACTTTCCTGTGTCAACCTTCAGTGTTGAGGCAGCGTAGAAAGAGTGGCTGGAGAGTTTGTAATACTGACCACACTGGATCCGGATAAAGGGCTTCTGCTCCTGCAGAGAACCCTGTCGTTCCCTGTAAGTGTTGTGAGTGAAAGACCAGCTTCACAGGAGAGCTTGGATTTCTCTGTGC